GACATTGCACAAAGAAAACAGTTTCGTACCACCTGAAACACAAAGAAGCTCGATTTATGGGTGTCACATGAGTTAATGAGAAAACAACTTATAGACTAAATTTCGACCCATTTCTGAAGGGAATGATGAATGGTAATGAAAAGTGGTTCACTTACAGCAACGTTGCTGGGAAAACTGTCGTGGTCGAAGGACATTGAACCGGCATTAAGTTCAAACTCTCAATTCCGACCTATATTGTTAGCGTTTGGACCGTCTGAAGAAAGCAGGAGGAGAATTGTGTTTCACCAGGCAACAGCTGCCCACATACATCTATAGTGACTCGCCAGAATCTTCGAGAGCTTTTTTAGGGAGTGCTTACTTATTCACCTTATAGTCCGGAGCTTTGATTACCATCTGTTACTCTCTATGATGAATGATTTGGTTAGTGAAGCATTGGTCACAAGAGAGATCTAATAAAATCGGATCTTTCCATTTTTATTTTGGTTTTTATGAGAGGGACGTAATTACCTTCAAAATGGCTAAAACTTATCTAGTAAAACCCTGCAAAGGATATCTATATAGCAAATTTCAAGTAAATCGAACCATATGTACGATTTTTTCCTACTCGTGAAAGTAGAGTAAGACCTGCACTCAGTTGAAAAGACCAGGTTGAGAGCGTCCAACTTTAACCTAGTATTTCCAATTGAGGGCAAAGAGCGCGTAGAAAGCACATAAACTCTAGTTAATAGTGGTAATTTTCTGCGATCGCAAGTAAGATATTCAAAAAGTGAGGTTATGTGAATTGAACTCAACCGTGGGGCTTGCTTGAAAACCTAGAGGTGTTACGGTGTATTTCAAGATTTCGCGACTATTTTATATGTTTTCATATATGGTTTGGTATTTTAAATAAAGCAAACGTTATTTCTGCTGCCGAGAGAGGACCCTATTGAAATCTAGAGAACATAATTTTTCAAATTCTCGAGATCCGAAAGGGAGGGGATGTTTCTCTAGTTAGATGAACACGTCTTAGAACAATACAGGCAATATGAACCAAAGAGAATATTGAATAGTTCTGAGTATTCGAAGTCACATTTTGAAGCCAGCTTAAGCTACGCGACATTTCTAAATTATACAAACTGAATATCAAATTGATAAAACTGTATATTTTTCTCTGCTTTCTGAAGAAGTCGCTGGTTCTGTACCAAAATCCGATTAAAATCAAAATAGAAGCCCACAAAGTAGCAAACAAGAAAGAAGATTATGAGATTACTGCATGGTGTAGTCTGATAAGATGACGATTACGGTATTATGTAATTTAAATAATAATCTCATGCTACTAAATTGTGTCGGGAAGAAAACAAAATGAACAGCTCACACACACTGTTTATACTTTTTATATTTTCGTGAAGGTTGTGTGAAAACCTACATACTTATATACAGACAAGTACAAGCCGACAATCAGTGCGAAATACCTATAAGTGTAACTTTCAACTATTGTAAATAAATATTATATATTGATTATTGTGGAAACGAGGATAAATGTGTTCTGATAATGAAAATATACGAGCGAAGCGATGTGATATTGGAACGATAATGAAACTCAATATGAATCATAAAACCTTTCTACTCTTACATACATACATACATACATACATACCTACATACATACATACACACTCGTACATACTTTTGTGCTAGAGTTAAAAGTATAATTAATTGTGCGATCTGTTGTATTTATTGTGCACTCGCTGAGGTAGCGTGTTTACTTGTTGCTTACAACCTTAAATAGAATAATGACTAAAAGCTAATAAAGAGAAACTGGGAGGTTCCTACGCGCGAAAAAAAAGTCCCATTTATTATCGGAAATATGATCTACATACACATATATATATAATATTAAATATACATGTTTAAATGAACGTACTTATTGATATGTATGTATGTATGTATGTGTAAAAATGAGAAAAAAGATTTGACGGCACTTGTGAACGGTTCAACGTACACAAGAACACAACAACGTTATGATGCTTTTGTGGGTGCAAAGTAATAAACTTATACGTAATATGCGTAAATTTGTATGAGTAAGCGTCAATGGAATACGAAATATGCACATAAATATATACATAAGTACATTCGCATTTCAGTTTAATAAGCTAAATTTAAACTTAACATTACTGGAATATTTCTGTGTCACTCGCTCATGCGGTTTGAAACTGTTCTGTGTTTATTTTATTTTATTTTTTTATTATTTTTTTTATTTCATTTTACTTTATTTTATTTTATTTTATTTTATTTTATTTTATTTTATTTTATTTTATTTTATTTTACTTTATTTTATTTCCTTTTTTATTTTATTTTATAATGTTTATTTACTTAATTTTACTTTATTTAATTCTAATTTTAATAATTTTATATATTCTTTAATTTAGTCTATTTTTTTATGCATTAAATTAAAATTAACTTAATTTTGGTTAACTTTTCTTAATTTTATTTAATTTTATTTTTTTATTATAATTTATTTTATTTCATGTTTTGTTTATTTTATATTATTTCTTTTTATTTTATTTTACTATTTAATTTAATTTCTTTTTATTTTATTTCATATTATTTTATTTAATGATATTTAGTTTAATTTGATCAAGTAAAAAAATCGTTATGGTCCATAGTACTAGTGTTACGTGTCGCATCATGTCATACTATAGGTTCCGTTCCGGTAATTTCGATATCAAAGATGCACCACTCGTCGGGAGTCCTGGCGTCGAAAAGTGCGACAAAATCATGGAAATAGTGAAAACAAACCGCCCCGTGAGCACTTTTTTAATTGCTGAGGAAACTAAATATAAACCAAAAAACCGTTTGGAACCATTTACATAACCTTGGATTCAAAAATAAGCTCGATGTTTGGGTGCCACACGAACTAACGCAAAAAACATGATGGTCTGAATTTCCATCTGCGAATCGCTACTGAATCGCAAAAAAATCGCCATTTATGAAGCGGATTGTGACTGGCGATGATAAATGGGTCACTTACGACAACATCGAGTGCAAACTGTGGTGATAAAATCTCGGGGAAGCGGCTCAGACGGTGACCAAGGCCGAAGGTTTTGCTGCGTGTTTGTTGGGATTGGCAAGGAATCATCTACTATGAGCTGCTCACCTATGACCAAATGCTCAATTCGGTCCTCTACTGCCAACGAATTGTGTTCCACCAGCAAAACGTCAGGCCACACACGTCTTTGGTGACGCGCCAGAAGCTCCAATAGCTCGGATGGGGGGTCCTAATGCACCCACCTTATAGTCCGTACCTGGCACAAAGTGATTACCATCTTTTCCTGTGCATGGCGAACGTGCTTAATGGTTAGAAATTAGCCTCAAGAGAGGCCTGTGAAAATTGGCTCTCCGAGTTTTTTATCAATGCATATTCGACTTAAATTGGACAAATGTAAACAAAGTTATCATATTTTGAAAAATCAATAAAAAAAAACCGAACGAAGTTTTTACTTGATTTCTTTTTATAAAATTTAGTTTTTATTATTTTTTGATATTATTTAATTTTTTCATTTCATTTATATATCTTTTTTTGTAATATTTATGTGAAATATATTATTTTGTAGTATTTTATTTTATTTATTTATACTTTTTCATTTAATTTGATTTAAATTTATTTTTTCATTCAATTTTTTTTTTTAATTTTATAGGAATATATGCTTCATTTTATTCAATAATTACTTTATTTATTGTATGCAATTTATTTTAAATATAATTTAATTATTTTTTTTTATTTTGTGTTACTTTATTTTAATTATTTTCATTTTATACTATATATTTATTCTTTTTAATTTGTGTTATTTTATTTTATTTTATTTTCTTAATTTAATGTTATAATTTAATTTATAATTTTCTTCATTTTGATATATTTGTTATCTAAGAAAGAATTTAATGCAATTTAATTTAAAATAATTTAATTTTATTTTATATTTTATTATATTATTTTATTTAATTTTAATTTAGTTTTGTTTAAGTTCATTTTTTATAAATTTATTGTATTTATTTCATGTTATTTTATTTTGTTTATTTACTTACTTTCTTTTTTCAATTTACGCTTATCACGTTTTTAAATGTAAAAACCGTTATATGTTTGATTACTTGAAATCTCCTTATCAAATTTATGCAGTTAAGATTTTATTTATGCTCTTCTGCTATGCGAAGTGAAGTGTTTTTACTACTTCCTAGAATTCAATTATAAATAAATAAAGAATTTAGAATTGTGCCACGATATGAAAATATGTATATTACAACAAAAATATAATTAAAATGGGAAGAAAATTTTATTTCAGATGCAACCTTCCCATTTTCGAAACTATTGAATCACCGCGCGTGCTGGGAACTTATAATTACGTTTTTTTTTGTATTCAATATTTTATTTATTTTTAAACTATATATAATATTATATATTACATTATTATGTATTATTATATTTCTTTGGGTTTTACTTTTGTTGTCGTCAATAACAGTTTTTCTTTATGCTAAACTACCAATTCTGTTTGTTTACAGCCATAATTTAACAGAGTGGTGAGTCCCTTTCCCGAGATTTTCTAGCTCTGTGAAACTTCAATTGAGCATCGAGCCATTAGTCAATTGCACCTTCTCGTTGTTATAAGTTCTCTGATTATAAGTTCTCTGGCTGAAGGCAGGGACTTGGAGACCTCTGTTATTTTTTTAATATTTGAAGACTATTTCTTACCTGACAATTAAAAAAATAATCAATCAAGGGTTTGTATGAAAACTTTTGAGTCTATTTATTTCTGCAAATTTAACGTTGTTATTTGTATTTTAATACCCAAATTCTATTTGTTATTCTCCTGTGTAATTATATTTATCTATTGTATATGTATATAGATATTAAGAAAAGGGTACAAAATATCAAAAAAATTTTGAATTTCCACCAAAAATTTATATAAATTTCATCTCACTTTTACTTTACGCGTAAAATCTTTTTATAATTAATATTAAACAAAAACTTATGATAATACATATATATATATATATAAGTATACATTTGTGGATTTTTCGATTTTTATTATACATTTGTTACAAAATTCGATGGTTTAAATAACTAAATATTTTGTTTTTGTTTTTATGAACTTTACATTCATTGCTTGTTTCAAAATGTTTTCGAAATATAAATTTCTGAGATTCTGGGCGATTGGAAAAATACTCAGAAAACTCAGTAAGACGAGCGACGCCTGTAATTGCGTATATTATTCGCCAAACAGCAGGCAAATATGAAGCCAACAAACTGAAATGAGAAAAATGTTTTTTTTTATAAAAAAATTTAAAAATTAAAAAAGAATTTATTAAGAATAAATCCAAGACTCAAGATAAATTTTTTATTACTCATATTATTTTTCTTATAAAAGCTAACCTCAACCGCTGCTATCAGTAGACCGGCATATTTAATGACATCACTGTTCCTATCCCAGAAATCGACAAAAGCCTGCTTGCAGCCACGACGATAAACATTCTCAATGCTACAATTACTGCCCTTACAACATGATGGTGGATAGTAGCCTTGGAATGAGTAGTCGAGGTATGAGTTCTTGCCGCAGCACTCCATCTGAAATTACAAAATATGTTTAAATGTTTATAAAGGCAACTTTTAATTACAATACATAAAAAAACAACTACCACTCACACTTATTTGTATGGCATCCATATAGTCAGCTTTACGTGTTCTACGCGCCCATGCCTTCTCAACAACATCACCCATCATTACCAGATATTTATCCTTTTGCACCCACATATAGATGACCAAAGCGAGTTGACCGATCATTAGCACAAAGAGCAGCACGGAATACTAAACAGTTATCAGATAAAAAAAAATTATTAGAATTATCTAAAAAGCATTCAGTGTAAATAGCGTGTGCTTGAGATTTTTTTTTTTTACCGTCATCGACATGCAATACGATTCCCGTATCGCTCCACAACAGCCAAAGAACGAGATCAACAATATCACCGAACCCAAAACGATCATTGTGATGGGTATTTGTTGTGTTTGTACTGCCTCGGCTATATCATCGATATTGTGTATATTGCTGAAGAGCATAATACCAAAGACAATGAGTAATATGCCACATATCTACATAAATGAAAAGCAAGTAAATATTATTTTTTAGAAATTTTATTGATAAATAAAGTAAAATAAAATATTGACTAGTAAGTAATGGCTTAATAGTTTTATAAGAGTGGGTGGAGTATGTAGTGTAGGCATACTTATATACATATATAAAATATTTAGCACTTTCTTAGAACTTGCTCATAGGTTGAGCTGCTTTCCCTACAAATGAAAATTAATGCATCGAAAGCCATTTCTAATTTATTGAGTATTTGATTTCATAGAATTTTATATAAAAATAAACTTGATATCGAAATCGCTATAATTTTTTTTTTTATTAAAATTCCTTGGAAAACTAAAAACCCTTGCATACCTATTTTCTACACAATGTAAACAACAATATTCAGACTTTTCTCATAGCACTTATATTGTACATTGCATTTTAAGGCATAAATAACGTGACTAAAATCGTAAATAACAGTGCAACAAAGCAACGTGACAAACTAAACAAAATTCGCACACACACCGTTAAAAGCATTTCGGATATACGAAAAGTGCTGAAAAACTGCTACATTGTATTTTTTTTTTTAATTTTTCTAATACCCTTTTAATAAATTAATGCCGATTATGTAACATAACCTCGAAAAATGTACTAAGCGCCGGCCAGTAAAAATTAAAAAAAAAATATATTTATTTATTTAGTGCAAAAATCAGCCATAAATTAAGAGTAATGGAAGTAAAATAAACTCAATTTACAGAACTAATTGTCAAATCGACACACAGACCTCTATAATGACCTTAAACTATAGACTTGGAGTAGACATGCTTATGCTCCGAACTATGAATGAATTTACATATGTATGTACATCTATTACATATTTACATATCCATTTATGATGGAATTATAGACGACTATTCTTTTACTTGATAAATAAAATTTTTAACTCTACATATTTGTAAGTATGTATATATTTTATATCATATTTCACACACAACTAAAGTTAGCTTTGAGACAAATTATGTATAATGTATAGAGAAACAGCTACTTTAATAATAAATAGATATATATGTATATGCATAAGTATTTATAGCAACACCAAAAGTTAATATTATTCACTAATATTCATACATACATACATACATACAGTCATATAAAAATACGAGCTTTCTTACTGTAGAAGCAAACAATACTAAATTATTTACTTGACTTTCGTATTGACCCAAGTGTGACTGTTAATAATTGCAATTAAATGTCTAGTATACATATGTATGTGCATATGTATGTAAGTAATGTTTTTTAGTTAAATGAAAAATTATTATTATTTTGTTTCTTTTTAAGATGTAGACACTTAATACAATGAAAAATGTGTATGAAATTGAAAATTGACATGCATAATTTGCCGTTAATTCAATTGAAAGTTCAAGTTCTATGCACATACACATACATACATACTTATATCCGTAAACAATTTCTATATATATATATGTATGCATAATGGAATTATGAATGAAATTGCTCAATAAGCAGTAAATTATATAATTAAGAGTGCTAAAACGTAGTGTCCGTCCGTCCGTTTAAGGGGCTGTTAAATTTCCGTATTTTTAACTCAACATTTTAGACTCTACTCGTGTAAAATTCCATGCCTTTTAGCCTAATTTGTGTGCTGCTAGTTATGAAACAACCTCCATATGTATATACATACATACATATGTATATGCACGTACTTCAAATACGAATATATAATAGTATATTAACCTTCTTATGATAAACATTTTTTAAAATTTTTCAAAAAATTTCTAAACACATATACGCTGAGTTAACAATTTTAATTGTCATGCTTAATTATAAAAAATAATTATTTTAACAAAAATTTATATATATGTATATATATGTACTTGTATGTACCTACTATATACCCCTTTGTAAGTACCGCGGTATGCAGTTATATATGTATGCACAATTGAAAATCTCATAATAGTGAAATAATCTATGTTATTTTTAAGTTGATGACGTTTTCCGTTCTACTGAAAGTAAACTTGTTTTTCTGTCTTTTCCTATACACCGTTTGCTTCAAACCTTTTGCTAAGCTGCTAACAAGCCGCAGCGAATAACGCTAATTTATGAGTACATACAAGCTTTTTTATTTACTTTATGCTCAAGCGGCGTTTTTTCTCTAATATTTTTATTTTGGCATTTTCGAAAACCAGTTTGTTGAAGAATTTGACATAAATACTAACGCACAGACATACATATGTATGTACGTATATGTACAATTGTCTGGGCATTCAAAATTTTTTAAAATAAAATATTTCTTAAGCAGAACTTTTTACAAATATACACATACGCGAATATATATATATATGTATACACAAAAATTTATCTAAGCTGGATTCAAAGTTTTATGCTCACTGTTATTTTTTTTTGTCCGTATATACATGTATAGGTCGGTTTTGATATACATATATATATTTACAAATGTTTGTATTCATAGAAAATCTCACGAGTGCCTCGCTTACACATATTTAATAAGTATTTATGCTTGAAACCGGTTAATGTTACAAAATCTTGTTTTCGAATAATAAATATTAAACAGATATTTCTTTCTAGAAAAAATTTATTAAAGAAAGAAGAAAAACAGAAAATTATTATTTTTCATTTTATTGTAAATTAACATTCGATTCTATACAAAATCGATTCACATTAACATATTTTATATACATACATTATTACACTTTTTACAGCTGAGCTGAACAAAGAATCGCTTTAATATAAAAATAATGAGTTCATCTACTTAGTAATATTTGTGATGTTCGTTTGAAAAAAAAAGTATACAATAACTATAAAACTCGCAACCTTCCAAATATGTATGTATGCAAGGTTATTGTAACCAAATTCAGAAATGTCGAACTTTTTGGGTGTGTGCGCTTAAATTATATAAAAAAGAATAAATATGCATTCGTAAAAACTGACAAAACTGATGATCTCACAAGATCTTATACAGCCGACGCATTGATGTGCCTACGCGCAAATTTGTAGCGCATATGAGTTTTTAAAATAAGATAAATATTTTGAGAACTACCTAAAATGTATGTATGAATAGTAAAAAGGTAGGTAAAGTTTTTACAAAAAAAAAAATTATGAAACTTATTTATGCTTATGCAAATATTGAAAAATATACATATTTACTTACCGAACATAGCAAATTAAACAAGAATAAAAGATATTTAACCAAAGAGATGCCGCAACTCATTTTCACACTTTTGAATGTTCGTTACAGCTGCAGATAAAATATAAAGATATAAAAATAACGAAAACATATTTTTTTTTCAATTTTAATTAAACACAACACCGTCTAAGGCACGGTATTTATTGAAATCAAAGTGGCGCCAGGTTGTGAAAGTATACATGTGTAAGTACAAGTAAAAAAAATGTATATTAAAAGAAATTCAATACAATAAAAAATGGAATTAAATAAAATTTAAAAAAATAAAACAAAACAAATATGCAATCACTCAAATATAATATGTATTTCTAAACGCTATATTTTCCATGCTGGTGTACGCAAAAACTGTAGAATGTGCAATATAAATTGACATTTTCCAACGCACCCATTACTTCTTATTGTATTAGCGCTTTAGCTGCGCCAAGTGATCAAATGCTGTTTGCTGATTTCCTTTACAGCTAGAAAGTATACAGACATTTTTATTTGTTATAAAATATGAGCTTGCTTATTTTATAAACTGCTCACTTGTTCAGCGCACAAGTTCCGGTAACAATGTCTTCTTTGAAAACACCTTAGCTTTTGCTTCGCGCAGTGTACTCCACAACGATGGATGTTTAGCTAACCAAAAGAACCACGATTGTTTAGTTAATGCACTCGCCTCCACCTTCTTAAGATGGTCATAGTATTTGATATTACGTTTAATAGCGGCTGCTTCATCGGGTGCATAGCGTGCAAAACATAACTTCAGCAAAGTCTCTGATATGTCTATGAGGCGTCCACCTTTGGGTGGATGCACTAAACACAATTGGCTTACGACAAAATCATCGCGTTTACTCTTCACCAATGGTATAAAAGTGGCACGTTGACCTAGGACGCATGATTGCAGCCAAGAGACACCATTGCCATTCACTTTAATACCTGGCAGCTTAACTGGCAGTACACGATCCTTACTAGCAAATATCGGTATAAGTGGTCGGTGACTTATGAGTAAAATAGTGTCTTGATTTTTAACTTGTACATCACGTATAAGACCAGTATGCATAACACGTTCATTTATTAGTTTCTCCGGTATATGAGAAGGTTTTTTGAAAGGACGTACTAAATAAGCCGGTTTACGTTTTATATATGCAATGAGTAGCATTAAGCCTGAAGTGCCATAAATTGCGACTTGTGTACCGATTGTGTCACGCTCCATGTAATTACATAAACCTTGGTATTTGGAAACAATATATGATTTTATGCTATTTGTGGCCATTTTATGGGCGGCTTCTATTTGGAAATATCTGCACAAATTTGATCCAAGAAAAACAAATATACTTTCCAGCTGATGTTATCTACAAATTATGTCCAGCTTTGTTTAGCAGAGCTTCTATTATATTTTCACTTTTCGAGGTGTGTTTAATTGGTATATTTTTGCTCTTTGTGTTGTGACGAACAGTGCTGCTCTTTGGAGTTTCTATTCGATTTTTTGTATTCGTAACGTTATAGTGTATCAATTGCGGTACGATGAGAAAAGATATCGTTGAAATTTTCGTTACAGGTATATATTTGTTCGTGTGTGTGATGCCTAAAATACCAGAAGCGTTTATAAAACACTAAACAATATAAGATTATTTGAAATTATCTAATTGATAGTCACATCTAATTTAAATGTTGTGTAACTTTTTCTTCCAAATTAATGATGACATCATTTACTTTTTACGTACGCCTAAAAGCCTTCTCATCAAACTTGTGTAGTTGCGTATTCCGCCAGTTGTTCAAAACAGGCAAAGTTTTCAAAACATATTATTTCGTAAATATTTAAATAGCGACTAAATCACAGCGAGCACAAAACGAATGACTGAATAGCGCAAGGCAGTGCAAAGATACTGTGGAAAAATCACATCTGATCACTTTTGAACCATTCGCTCACCATAATATACTGCGAAATTTGTCGTAGTGCCAACAACTACACAGCACACAGCACAGCACAATATCAAAAAATATAATAAAAACAACTACAGCATCCAATGTGGTTGCAGATTAGCCCATTTCCTTTATTTATCACAACATTTCTTTGTCACCATGTACCTTTATTTGGCGTTTCTACAATTCCATACACAAGTTTTATTATTTATTTTCAAAATAATTTTTTGTTTTGCTTGACATATTCGCGAGAAAATCTCTTTTTCTCTGTACAACGCATACTGAAATCCTTCTTCACAACCACAGCTAACCACTTTGTAAACCAATTACCAAAATCATAATTGTTTAGCAAATAAAAAAATAATTTAAAGAAATTGGAAAAAAAAAGTTAAATTCACAAAAACGAACGTTAACAACGGCGCAGTACCTCTGGAAGCAAATTTAAATTATAGCGCTCAATCGAATCCGTTTTAGCTACGGTACTTGAAATAAATTTAAATTTTTATCCGCGTTAGTTGTTTACCAGCTCCGTCGTTGTTTTAGACTGAGATCACCATGAGCTGTTCAGTGTCGACGATGCTTGCTTACCCAATATGCGATCAGCTAGTCAGCTAACCAACAGCGGTAACCGTGCAATAGCCAAACGAACAGGCAACCAGCCGAGCCGGCAGCAGCCAAATTGAGAGTTGAGCAGCCGTAGCAGCTCCGCTTTGCAAATAATATAACAAAACAACCGCCTGTTGCTTTTTTGTTGTTACTACTGGTTGATTGGTTGTTGGTATTAACACATAGTGTTAGTATATAAATTATTTATTAATTTTTTTATTATTGGTTTGTTGATGCCGTGACACAATGCGTAAAGCTTACTTCTCTCTTTTACATTATATATGTGTGGACATACGTGTATGTTGCGTATAGAGTGTGGCTGTGTGAGAAAAATTGTAAATTGTAATTACGTTTCCTTTTTTATGTAAATTCTATTTATTTAACAATGAAGCATATTGTTCTAAATCTATACAAATTTTATAGTATTTATACGATATTTATGACTTTTTGTCTGCCAAAGGAGAAATTTACACATTTTCCAAATTCATCAATACTACTAAGTTTTCGCATATATTTCGATTTTTAAAAATTGTTTTATTAACTCAATAATAGTAGTATTAAATTTTCACACAGTAACTAACTTCCGCTCGTTACTTTTCACTCGTTTTAAATTAATTCACGTCATCAGTGCCATTTAAAAGAGAGAAAAAAAGAGAGAGTATGTCCGTTTAAAGAAGAGAGGCAAAAAAAAAAAATTAAAAATAAAGATAAAAATTAATTGAAATAAAAAAATCCAAATGAAAAAAATTAAAAATAAAAATGGAAATAGAAATAAAAAAAATAATGATAATAATAAAGTAAAAATAAAACTTAAGACAGAGATAAAAATTAAAAGTTATTACAAATGAAAAAATAGAAATTAAAAATGTAAAAACTAGAAAATGAATAAAAAAATAGGAATTAAAAAAAACAAAAATCAAAATAAAAATAAAATTAATAGAATACCATAAATAAAAAAACTAGAAATTAAAAAATAAATAAAAAAAAGTTAAAATAAACAAAAATAAAAAATAGGAATGAAAATGAATCGAAATAAAAGGAAAATCAAAAAAATAGAAATAAAAAAAATTAAAATGAAAATAAAAATAAATACAAATAAAAAAGTAAAAGATAAATACAAAATAAAAATCAGTACAGGAAAGGATTTGAAAGTCCTTACCGAAAATTAAGACAGAAATAAAAAAAATTAAGATTAAAATTAGAAGACACATGAAAATTAATATACATAAAACATTTAAAAATTGGTAAAAATAGATAGAAAAAGAAAATTAAATAAAAAATGGAGATTACAAAATAAATGAAAAAAAAACAATTAATTAAAAATAAATAGAAATAAGATAAAAAATATGGAAATAAAAAATAGAAACTAAAAAATAAATACAAAAATAAATAAAAAAAAGAAGTCTGATGAGGAAAGGTGGTGGTTTCCGAAAAAGCAGCTATAACCATCCAAAACTATTGTTGTAATTTTTTCACGGTTCCCAAAAATATATGGTCTGACACAGTTCCATAAAAAAACCCAAAAAAAAAATAAAGATTAAAATAAATAAAAGGGATTTTTTTAAATATGAGTAATAATAAAAAAAATCAAATTAAAAAAATAGAGATGAAAAATATAAAAATAAATAGAAAAAAAATCTAAAAAATAAGATAGAAGGAAATAAAAAATTGTAATAAAAAATAAAATATAAATAAAATAATAAATTGCAACATTTAATGCTTATAAAAACCATATGGCCATACGCTCTGAGCTATAAAATCTCAATTTATTCACAAAGTAAATAAAAATATATGTACAATATTTTTCTAAAACCTCACAAACATATGTTTAATTGTTGTTCTGCTGCAAAATATAAAAAAAAAAACAATACGAATGTACATGAAGCGTACACCATTACCTTGAGCATAATGATTCTGTAAAGTTCAAAAAGCTTTAAAACGTACTACATACAAACATACTTTATTACTGATCTCTTCGATTTGACGCCAATTGGGCGAAGGACAGTTTTATTTTCATGTTTTTATCTCTTGTTTTTTTTTTGCATTGCTAACAGTTCTACTTTATTTATTGTACATAAGTATATGTATGTAGGTACATATGTGCATATCTATAATATATAAAATACATAATTTTTAGATTAAATAAATTTTTAGGCTTGAAATTTGCTGAGGAGTTTTTTTTTTTTTTTGATATACATACATATTAATGTATGTATGTTTGATTAAAGAAGAGAAATTATTAGATTTAGGCGTATATGGCTAAGAGGATAGACTTAAAACTCATTAGTTTGGCAATAATAATAATAAAGTACTTAAATACTTAAAAAATGAATTATTGTGTAAAATTTCCATCTGCATATTTATTTAATATTGATTAGTGAATTTAATTATTTATAAATAATAAATTAAATTCAGATAGCAGAGCTGAGTCGCAAAATCTTCAAGAAGTTCAAAAGGTTATCACTGGACTTTAGGCGCATACAATAAATAAAATACCTTTCTTTACATTTTAAATGACAGCATCAAGAGCATCAAGAGCATCAAGAGATAATCGTATCAACAGAGACATATGTACATACATATGGTTATTATACTTTAATAATTTATAATAAATGATTTAAAATACATTTAGGTGTTGAAACCGCTCAAAAATATAAATAATATTTGAAAAGTTTGTATATATGACTAAAATAAATTTCAAATAATATGAATTTTGAGTTTTGGGTTTCCAAATTTATTTGCTTAACACATACATATACATGTATATAGATACTATATGTATAACAACACATTATTTACTAACAAATATTCTTTAAATAGCAACGAAAACAGAAATAAACGTATATATGTACTCGTACGTGTATGTATAATTATAAGTGAAAGTGTCATGAACACACAAAAGTCCAAGAACGCATACTCGGACTACAAAATTCACGCTACCACGCCCGCACCAGTCGATTTTGTTTATAACGTATCTGTACTACACTTACAAACACACACACACACACATCTATGTAAACACAAAAATTAGTTTTTATTCAAAATGCATGAAAAGCACTTTTGGTTTCCACAAAAAAAAATAAGAAAAAAATGCATTGGTAAATTACGTTTTCGCTTTTGTTTTGATTATTTTACCTGTCGAAGCAGCAATAATATCAAGTTAACGGAATTGCTGTTGTTGTTTTGCTGCAATTCGTGTTGCAGCTGCTTTTTATTTAATTTCTTTCTTTTCGCTTGCTTTGTTATTGACGAACGATTGCATAAAATGTATATAAGTAAATACAAAATAATGTGTATTTCTATGTAAATATATACACATAAATGTATATTTGTAAATGTGTACGTGCCTCTCTAATGCTAAAGGGAAAATCTATTCACGCCAGAAAAGCGCGCCATAACGCCAGAAAGTTGTAAATACTCGTGTGTGTGTATGTGTAAACTTCATTTAAATATATTATAAAAGCATGCATTTATTATATATACATACATACACACATGCATACATAAATTTGTACATACAAGCATACATTTGGGGTACTTATACAAGTAGCGCGGTGTGTGCTTACAAATAACGTGTTTGTAGTCGTTTGATTTTAGTTGTTATTCGCTCAACTTTTGTAACCGGTTTTATTTTTTGTTTTTGTTATTATTATCATTATTTCTTGGTCGCTCCCACAATGAGTCAATATGTTATTCGTGCATATGCACAAATAAATAAATAGCATGGAAATTCACTTAAAAAATTAGTAAAAAGCAAATAAATATATTATAATATTTAACATATTTTAATGTTGTATATAAATTGTTTATCTTATTTTATTTTATTTTACTCTATTTTATTGTGCTTAATTTATTTTATTTTATTATATTTATAATTTTTTTTCATTTTATTTTACTTTATTTTATAATATCTTATTTTATTTCCTTTTCGTTTTTCTTTATGTTATTTTATTTTATATGTTATGTTTTATTTTATTTATTTTGTTTCTTTTTTTATTTTTTTAATATTTTTATTTATTTTAAATTTTTTATATATTATTTAATTTTTTTTTGCCTCATTTTAATTTATTTTATTTTATTTTACTATACTCTTACTTATTATTCTTGTTTGGTTTATTTTATTTTACTAAATTAATTTATTTATTTTTTCATTTGATTTACCTTTAATTTTGCTTCGTTTATTATTTGATTTCATTTTATATTATTTTGTTTTGGTTTATTTCATTTTACTAAATTAATTAATTTATTTTTTCATTTGATTTACTTTTAATTTTGCTTCAATTATTATTTCATTTCATTTTTTTATTTTGTTTCATTTTACTAGATTTATTTATTTATTTTTTCTTATGTTATATACTTTTATTTTTCATCTGCTTTATTTCATTTTATTTTACTTTATTTCATTTTATATCATTTTGTTTTGTTTTACTTTATTTATTTTTTCTGATATTATATACTTATATTTTTCATTTGCTTCACGTGATTTTTTTTTTTTTGCTTTACTTAATGTTATTTCTTTTTTATAATTCTATTTTATTTCTTAATTTAATTTATATTATTTTAGTGTATTTTCTTTTAGTTTTCTTTATTCTATTTTATGTAACTTTATTACATTTCATTTCATTTTTTATTTATCTTACTTTGTTTTATTTTATATTTTTAAGTTATTTTATTTCTTTATTCTATTTTTTTATTGTATTGTATTTTATTTCATTTCTTTTCAATTTATTTATTTGATTTTATATAATTTCATTTTATATTATTTTATTTTGCTTTATATTATTTCACTTTATTTTATATTAATTTATTTTTTATATCCGTTTTTTCTGAATTAATGTTTATTCTATTTTGTATAATTTTTTTATTGCATTTTATTCATTTTTTTTTTTGTTTTTTTATTGTTTATTTTTTAATTTGATTTGATTTCATTTTGTTTTATTTATATAATCCTTTTTTATGTTGTTTTATTTTATTGTTAATCATTTAATATTATATTATATAATATTATTTGCTTCATTTTGTTTTGCTTTATTTTATTTTTGATTCATTTTAATATATCTCACGTTTCTAATTTTTATTTTGCTATAATTTTATTTTATTTTGTTGTTTCATTTTATTTAATATTTTTTATATTTATTTATATCACGTCATTTTAATTCACTTTGTTTTATTTTATTTCCTTAACTTTTTTATTTAATTTTTATTTTAATTTAATTTTATTTAAATTCATTTTGTTTTATATTATTTTACTTTATTTCATTTAAATATTATTTATTTCATTTTTTTCTAAATTTTACTGAAATGCATTCGCTGAGGCAAAATACCAATGAAATTTACGCAGAGAAAACGGAAGTTAGACATTTCGTTACTGGCTTATATTACTGGAATTTCCCACTGAACAGAACTATTATAATACATCTCATCTCTTTTCATTGATGTTATTCATACGCCCCGACTTTCTATAGACAATTTTATGCTAAATTAGATATGATATATATTTCCCGTATTACATATATGTACATGTACATGCATATATACGTCTGTAAATTGTATTAGAGTGCAAAATTCCTTTTATAAAAACGTGCGAAGATGACCTAACCTAAAACACGTTAAGTGCCAGTAAATTATGCATGCACAAATTGAGTTCAACTAAAACTAGTACCAATTGCATGAAATAAAAGTTAATTTCTGGCACTATGATATTCATTATAGCTGTAAAAATTGTAGAAAATTATATTTTATTTCCTCAAAAAGAAATCTAGTAACAAGTTTCGTAATAAAATGTCCACATCTCAGAAATGAATTTATTCGTAAGTTTTATGAAATCTCTAAACACGTAAATATGTATAGAAGTAAAGCATGAATAAATGTGCACGTGCTTAATGAAGTAATTTATAGTTTATACGTGTTCTCAAACTATTATTTCTGTTGAAGGAGTTGCTGAACTTGTTTTTTTACCAAATACAGCACTGCGGATACGTAACATGGAAGTGGCGGGCACACAGCCATACTTACTCAATATTAATTTTATTTTAGGGAGCAATGGGGTTTAATTTGTGTATTTTTTATGTATGAGCATCTAAGAAATTCCTTATTTTTCACTTATATAATAACCGTGAACGCTTAAATATTTTACTCACTTATACACTAGCTTAAGCGGAAAGCTAAAGACGAGAACATTTGCCAACAACTTTCATTTTGAAAGGTTATACTTGGTATTTGTATGTCATTTAACAAGCAGAATAGCGACGATTAAAAATGAGAATAATATAAGAGGAATGTTTACTTGTTGTTTGAATCATCTAAAATTAAATAAAACTAATACCAACATATGTATATATGCATTCATATGTGTGTGACATTATTGTCTACAAGTTTCTATCTATGTATACACGTGTTTACTTTTTGAGCGACTTAAAACAGCTTTTAAACAATTCACATTCGTTGTAACGTCAAGAATTGGCATTAATGTTTACTCATGAGTCAATACAAATAACTGTATATTATTAAACAACAAGTTTAATTAAGGACGGACTTTTTTGACTAAACACAAGCATGTTTATTGTTGTCATTTGAGAGAAAACATTTCACAAGTTATTTGAATTTATGGTCTTTAAGAGAGAATAAGATATACAACGTATATATGTATGTACATATACTACAGCCTTTTCATATAATACATTCAAATTTTTATTAATTTCATTTTAATCTTTGCATACAGTTTATTGTTTTGTGTAAAAACTATTACATTTACTTGCACGCTTACAACTAATTTATACTTAAGCTTAATGCAACGGACCCCTTGTCTTCAATACATACGTCGTGTATAATTTATTTGTTGCTGTGTCGGCTGACCTGGTTGTCCCTGCATAATTTGTGGCTGTCGCGCCATATGCTCATGCGCTGCAGCTGCACCACGGCCGGTGGCATAGCCCTGTGTTATGCTTGGTGCCGATTTGGGATTCTAAAGGCACAAAAAATTTACATGATATTTATACCAACACTTTCACTATATATATGTAACAAAAACACTAACCTGTCCCGGATTGCTACTAATTTGCATAATGTTTGGATGCAGCGACATGCCAGGCATCATCGGTGTATAAACTACACCGTCGGGCAGTTGGTGTGGTGGACCATGACCAGTTGGAACTTCATGCTTTACATCAGGATGATAACGATCGGAGATTTTCTCCATTGTCACTTGTGGTTTTTGCGACTGTACACTTTGTTGTACTGCTGATACGGGTGGACCAGATTGCGAAATCGGCGGTGCATCCAAACTAATATGATAAACTTGTGTAGGTTTTGTTGGAGCCTGATCTGATTTCGAAACAGGCACTGAAGGCGTGGGCTGCAAGTCCAAGTGGAAACCGTGTCGCAATGGCAAGCCATATGGATAAATTATTGCTGGACCACGACCGTCCGGTTGTGGTTGCGGTGCATTCCCTGCCGTGGGATAGAATAATGCACCGGACGCTTGATATTGTGCAGGTGGTTCTGAAAACATTATTGGGAAAAAATTTATTTATATGAATAAGATATTTAACAAACAGTACAATCTTACTATTCCATGTGACACGAGAATATTCAGTACCACGCCGTCCATCATCGTGTTCTGCGCAAAAAAGTTTTTGTTTTCCAATATAAAATATTGCAGTAATAATAAGAAATAATAAAATTTAACTTACTCGGCTGTGTATAATTTGTATTTTTATAATAAGTTTGATGTGTTGGCGGCGATGGACTACGTGTGCGTTTAACTGGTTGATTGGCCACAGGCTAAAAAAAGAAATTTATTTCTCACTTTTCAATATAAAGATAATCGCTTTAAGTTTACTTTAGGTATGATAGGTATTTGATGATGCTGCATACGAACGGGTGGTATGAATACTTGCGGTGGCGGCGGCGCAACATTCACCTGCTGGGCTTGCAAAGCTTGCATTGCGTACATTTCGTCCTTTTGTTGTTTTTTACGGTTTTCATCTTCATTTAATACTTTTTTTAATTGTAAAAATAATTGCTGCTTTTGATTGTGCAAATCTTTAATTTGTTGATCGAGTTTGGCAATTTTTTCACGTGTATTTTCAAGCGAAACATCATTTTGATGATCCCGTTCCTCGCGCTCCTTACGCAGTCGCTCCTCTTCTTCTTTCGCATCAACTTCTGTAGAAAGTAATGAAATTGTATGTCAAGTAATTTGAAATTATCTTTTCGGCGCAAGCAAACCTTCTTTTTTACGTTGGCGTTCTTTAAGAACATAAGCTTTTAAAGCAGATCGGAGACGCTCCTCCCTCTCAGCTTTAGCAGCGGCAGCATTGTTGTTACTATTGCTATTATTAACAGCAGCGGCCGAAGCAGATGGCATTTTAGAGTTGAATTTCTTCTCCGTCATCTTCTCGTCCTTTTTACGGTTATATTTATTAAATAAACCTATTTTTAACGATAAACATTAAAATAATTGCAAACAAAATAAATTTACGTTTCCTATAGAAAACGCCGATCAGCTGGTATTAAAAATATTGCCCAATGTGTTAAATTCAATTTGATACCAGCAATAAACCAGATGAAGAATTATTAAAAATTAAAATTTTGTTGTTATTCATTAACCTGTTTAATACAATAATATCAATGGCTGAATTTCTAAACAGCGTGAGGAAGTTCAATTTAACACGTAACTAGTTTTTCTATTTTTTTTTAATTAATAAATGTTGAATTAAGTTTTTCTGAAGTTGAAAAAATTATATTGGAGACAAAACCACAATGCACTGGGCAGTGGGAAGAGGAGTTCGCAGTAAAGACTATGTCAGATAACAGGAAGAAAAAGACGAGATCAAAATAATTCAAAAAATAATTGTACATGGTCATGTCGCTCTCTAAGCTGTTCAGAAAAATATATTTATGTACATTAAAGATAACCTTTCTGGAAATTATAATACCGTCACATATAACGCACAAATACAACACAAAAATTGCATCATGTTCTAAACAAATAATACTCATTAAAATTATTTACGAACTCCATTTCTTGTTCTGAATGTGAATTATGTAAGTAGTTTGTGTAAAGAAGACTTTATGCGATTATTAATTTAAGTCTGCAAATGTGTGGCATTACCGCGTTCAGTGTTGTTGACCTCATTTGCGGCGAAATTATTTTTTTTTGTTTCCCTGTTTTCTATTCAATTTTATTTACATTAACTATATAAATAATTCCAATTCTGAAATGCTCTCCTCATTTATTTTACCAAAAAATGATTGAAATATTCCAACAAGACAGTTTTACGGTATTTTCCATTCCTTGATTTGTAACTAAAAAGAGGCAACACTGTCTTCAGGTATTTTTCGCCAGACAAAAAGAGACAGACAAATCAATGCCGTATCGTTTGTGTTGAAGGAAACAAGTGCTGATGTTTGATGTGCGTGACGATTCATAAAATTATTAAAATAAATGAATTCCAATTAAAAAAGCTAATAAATATAAGCCGAAAGTGATTATGTTATAAGAAAAGTGATATGCGATAAATCGTTTACAATTCTACAGTGATTAAAACATTCATCGTTTTTTCCCACTGACAGCCAACGAATCGGTTGAAGGGGTATCGGTCAAAAATTTAAAGAAAAATCGTGTAGTAAACAAAAAAGAAAATAAATGTATTGAAATTATTACAAAACACATAAGGTGCATTTGTTTCTTAACTATATAACGACACAGACTATTAATTTAATAAAATCATTGCAAAGGCATTGGAAAGTGTGTTCGTGTGTATAGCCACAGGAGTACCAGCGGCAACCAAAGAAGTAACACCAAATAGCAAAACACTAAACAGGGAAACAGCAAGGCAAAATCTAACATGGCGAGTAAGTATATAAATTCAGAATTTTCCAAATGCATTTCCAAAAAATTTCGACATAATAAAAAAAAATATGTAAATGTGTTTAGGTTGTGCATTAGTTGCTAGGCTAATTAATTTCCTTGCTTGTAGTGCATCAAACCAGACATACACAAGTATTGCTATGTATGTACATATATGAAAATAATCGGTGTAATTGACTCCAATAAGCCACCACATTCTGCGCCTGCCGCCGTTGTGTTTATCTTACACAAAATAAACAAAAATGAATTTCAATAGGCCCTGGTACTTTTTCTTTTCTTTTAACCAGCGATAAATATGTATGCATACCTAAATGCATAGGCACATTGCAACAGTAATAACTTTCAGATATACATAAATATTATTACTTCATTGTTAGTTGAATTATTATTTTATTTTGTGTTTCAGTTACTTGCATACACATTTATTATTTGGTGTGGCTTTCTTTTTATCTGCGAAAATATATATTCATTAGTTAAGCTAAATATATTGTATAAAATTGACACTAATATGCATTTTTGTTCCAAATATTGCATTTCTAGAAAGCTGAAGATTTCTCCAATTGCGCTACGATATTTTAGTGCGAAAAATCAATATTTACTACTTTCGTTACATACATCTACATATGTATGCACCTCATGCTAATCATGCATGCATATTATTTGAGTGCTGTAATTTTCCCTTATGTTTATCTATTTCTACCCAAGCTGGTAGCTTTTCAAAAGCCTCATACAGACATATATTTGAACACATGTAGCAGAAAAACCGTAACGCTGATTTCCACCACCCACGTCTAACCCATTTGGTTGAATAAGTCGCGCTCATTAGAGAAACGTGCACCATCAAAGGGAGGAATGCTCTGAGTGAGTAGTTCTGCGTGCTCTTAATGGTCAAATGATGCGGGTAAACTTGTAATAAAAAAGTGAATAAATTACTTCATTAGTTTTAAAATATAAATATTAAAAAAAAAAATGCATAAATGTAGCGAAAATAATGCATTTTTCATTTCATTTTGAGCAATTTACATTTTCTGAAATAAAGAGTTTATTAGCTGCAAAACTTTGTTTCAAAAAAAACTATTTAATTTTATTTATAATTTCCAAGTATTAATATGACATCACTTTTTTCGCGTAAAACAATTATGTTGCGAAAGAAATCATTGCTGATCTGTTTGCCGTTAAAAAAATATACTTCCTGATTCTCCACGGTATACCTGATCACGTCGGGATGCTAATTAGAATTCATTAGAGTTAAAATGAAAAATTATTTGTATATTTGTATAAAATTTTTGGGATTTTGAAATAAAAGTATTTGAAGCTGAAAAGAGAAATGTCAAAAATTGCTAAATTTCCAGTGTTTTTAGGGGAGTTGAGCAGTGAAGCTGAAAAATTTCATACTTTTTTACAGCAACATTTGTCTGCAATATCATCTTGTATGTACATATGTACATATGTATGTATGAATGCACCTACCAATGTAGGTTTTAGATGCATTGCAATGTGTTTGGTCGATATTCTTAATGCCTTTTCATTTTCGGTCTGCAGCAACTTGTCATTTGTTTGACCTAAAAGTAAGCTTAGGTACAAAATTAAAATTAAATTGCAAAATATTTTACAAGAAATATAGTGCATACATATATTTGTATGAGTATTTTTTGAACTAAATTTTAATATTTACTAAGCTCAAAAGTATTTCTTTTTAAAGCAAATGTCGATTTTGAAGTTGCATAAAAATTTCAAAATGAATTTCAAACATTTTTCTTTTAGTAACAAGTGTTGCTAAGTCGCCAAGTTGCAAGTCAAGCGAAATATGTATTTATGCTTATACTCGTATGCATGTATGTATGCATGCATGCATAGGTATTTATCAGCAAATGTAAGTGCAAAAGTGCAATGTCTGTAGTGGCTTTCCACTTCATGCATTTTGCCTTTGTAAATATTTATGTATGTATGTACTTGTATGTAGTATGTGTTTTCTTGTGCGTGTGCACTTTGCTTTCAACCGTAAAGCAAAAGCGTAGTATGCTTTTAGGAGGGGGTGAATGAATATCAACAAAATGTAAAATGAAAAAATTACAACGAGGACAGGAGTGGTAACGGCAATCACAACAAGCCAATGCATACATACATACATGCATACATATATTTGCGCATACGAGTATGTGCTTCTGTAGACAAGTATAATCAATTTGTATGTATATGTGTGTAAAAGCTTGCTTGCGGTATGTAGTAGCAAAGAATTAAAAAAAAATACAGGGAAAATAAAATCAAATGCCGGCTGATGGCAACATACAACAAACCTACATACTTACATATGTATGTATATGCATACATATATATGTAGATGTAAATTTACATGCAATACAACAACTTATGCTACACATCAGCAACACATTCTGCCACATTTTTTCTTCTGCTCAACGCCTTAGGCTGCAACTACCCAACTCACTCTCCAGCCGTCCATAACTGACGACGTTAGTAGTGAAATACATACACGAGCTATCGACGCCGCTGAGAGCGGCGAAATGTTGCCAGCTGCCTGTGTGTTTGCACACTTTTGAACAAATTCATAATTTTCGTCAACGAATTTCATAATTTATTTGCTTTAACATAAACACAAGGCAAATATACATGATCTATATAGTAACAAATAATTAGTTACGCATTTAGTTTTCATTTCTTTTGAACAAAACTACGCATTATCTTCGATTATTTAATGTTACTTTAAGAAAGGCTATACTGGCAACCTTGTATAGCAACGAAAAATGAGCCGAGCCGGTTTTACGGAAAAATCAAAACTTCGTTGGTTTCTGCGACACAAACGTCAGCAACGCTATGGTAAATCGGTGACAACTTTGTGTTTACATGGCGCTCTCATAAGATAGATTACTATGGACGGCTGGTACGCGCGTTGGGTAGTTGCAGCCTTAAGGATCAATGTTGGGTAGTTGCAGCCTTAAGGATCAATGAAGCCCGGCATCATCATACAATACATACATACACGTATGTACATACATATATATCTAGGCACAATAGTCAACAGCCCTTGGCAGCTGGCTCTAACAACGTCAGCCTTATAAGCGCTGCCATTCATAAACTATGTTACATAATATACGTATGTATGTATGTAAGCAAATATACAAATAGACTTTTCGTGGCACACACATGAGCACATACAAATAAGTATATCTATATATGTAAGTATCATACATAGTCACATGTCGCCACGTGAAGTTAACGCACCGCTACCCAACGCGGCACGCAGCACGCAGACAGATTCCTGACGCCGCAACTTATGTGAAGCCTTATGTGACTCTTAGACTCTATATTTATACATGTAAATGTGCATAAAAATACTTCACACATTGCAGTATATTCGCATTCGTGCAGTTATTCTCTTTTCCACCCATACATACTAACCAAAATAACACCACAACGATTTACAAAAAAAAAAAAAAATAAGAAACAGAAAACAAACGCCAATGGCAATGAGAGCTATGGCAGTTGGAGGGGATTGCGGTGTGCGATGCTCGTCATCTCATCTCAATGGCTGCAACTACCCAACGAGCGTACCAGCCGTCCATAAGTGGCGACGTCGAGGCGAGATAAACACACGACTTATCGACGTCGCTGAGAGCGGCGAAATGTTGCCAGCTGCCTGTGTGTTTGCACACTTTTGAACAAATTCATAATTTTCGTCAACGAATTTCATAATTTATTTGCTTTAACATAAACACAAGGCAAATATACATGATCTATATAGTAACAAATAATTAGTTACGCATTTATTTTTCATTTCTTTTGAACAAAACTACGCATTATCTTCGATTATTTAATGTTACTTTAAGAAAGGCTATACTGGCAACCTTGTATAGCAACGAAAAATGAGCCGAGCCGGTTTTACGGAAAAATCAAAACTTCGTTGGTTTCTGCGACACAAACGTCAGCAACGCTATGGTAAATCGGTGACAACTTTGTGTTTACATGGCGCTCTCATAAGATAGGTTACTATGGACGGCTGGTACGCTCGTTGGGTAGTTGCAGCCAATGGTGGTAAATGTTATCCCATTTCCATGCTTACAATCTTCATACGCAGACATGCTTACATTTATACTACACATGTACATATACACACACATAATGTGCGCCACACAGTCTCCTTGCTGACTGGCATAAATTTCTCTCTCTCTCTAAGCAAGAATAACAGCTGTACTCAATAACCTAAGTGTGCTGCCGCCAGTAGTCAATCTCCCGCCGGTTTCTGTTGTTACCACCTTTTAATTGGTTCATTGTGTGGAAGTGTGAGTGTGTGCTACATGCATATGTATCTATGTGTTTTGCACAGCAGGCGCATGTAAGATATGACAGTAGCTGTCGACACCAATAAACATTGTAAGGAAGTACTTTTTTTCATATAGACGCAACGTTCTTCGGCAGATAAAGACAAATCTTCAAACCTCAATAAAAAAAAATTGAAGCCGAAGCCGAAAGTAACACTAATCATGGCTTTAGGACGAAATTTGCGGTTCGAAGCTCCAAAATTTTAGCGACTTAGCGGGTCCACGGCCCTTCAGGATTCATTCATCAGGAAAAAACTGTCTTAAATAGAACCTTGCAGCTCTTGGCTGAAGGAATCTGTGTGAACTTCCGAAAAGAGCATCCGGCTACCGTTAGAGTCCGTAATGTGGACAAAACGGCCAGGTTATTCAAGTGGGCCAAAACTCTTTTCTCTAGGACATACCTAACTAAAACAGCTTTACCTATGATAAGGTTCCACCAAAAAAAAATAATTGTTGAACCTACCTTAAGCTGCCGGATCCATCAAAAGAGCACGCTCGCACTACTATAAACGAAGGAAAATCGTCTCAAAAAACATACTGATAGTTTTCATTCCTTCCCTTCACGCCATACAATTGCTAAACGACCGAGTAATAGTTTTGAACTCGATAAAACATTTACTGTCTATCAAGAGCCCGCGTATATGTCACGTTTTAATTTCCTAATATCCTCACATTGGAAACAAAGTTTGCTGAGACTTAGGCTGCAACTACCCAACGAGCGTACCAGCCGTCCATAGTAACCTATCTTATGAGAGCACCATGTAAACACAAAGTTGTCACCGATTTACCATAGCGTTGCTGACGTTTGTGTCGCAGAAACCAACGAAGTTTTGATTTTTCCGTAAAACCGGCTCGGCTCATTTTTCGTTGCTATACAAGGTTGCCAGTATAGCCTTTCTTAAAGTAACATTAAATAATCGAAAATAATGCGTAGTTTTGTTCAAAAGAAATGAAAAATAAATGCGTAACTAATTATTTGTTACCATATAGATTATGTATATTTGCCTTGTGTTTATGTTAAAGCAAATAAATTATGAAATTCGTTGACGAAAATTATGAATTTGTTCAAAAGTGTGCAAACACACAGGCAGCTGGCAACATTTCGCCGCTCTCAGCGGCGTCGATAGCTCGTGTATGTATTTCACTACTAACGTCGTCAGTTATGGACGGCTGGAGAGTGAGTTGGGTAGTTGCAGCCTTACTCTTTGCATGCCCATGAAAACTCATTCATCTAACGTCTCTCTACTACTGATTCGAACTCATCGCAATAGCTCGTTTCTTGAGCTTCCTGTTAGATGAACTCGACGGCATCGACTGTAGTGTCAACAACAGACTAGACTTAGTTTCGCAAATGCAAATCTCGCAAGGTTAAAGTGACTCTATCTCGACATCCATGCAACTCTTGCGAAATGGGTGCTGCTCAATTTTCAACCCGGCTGATTGTACAACACTTGGACTGTGTTTACCCGGACTCTTCCCCGGAAGTGATGGGTATGTTTTATGTTTTAATAAGCGTTAGAAGAATCTTCGATCTTTCGTAACCCTGCCCAGGTCAGAATGATGGGCGATTGCACTCTTTGTTGTATTTTCCCAGCAATTACAAATTTAATGTTCGATTCATCTCTTCAGAAGAACAGCACAATCTGGCCAAATGCGTCCATTACCTGCTGGCGTCTACTGTACGGCGAAATTGACTCAACAACGAAAAACTCAATATCTTTGTCTTTGCTACCAGTGAACTCACTGCTACCTGGCTCCGAAGAATACTCACAAATTTACATGTAAGGACAACAATTTAGTTTCATTTTCTCTTATGAGAGCGAATCCGCAAGTTTGAGAACATCCGAACAATTAGAGTTGACTACTCATTGGTTATTATTGTATTGGGTATAAAAATATGGCCTACATATAAGCGCTTTACTAAATAAAAGGTCAAAGACACACACCATTGAAGATTATAATAAGTTTTTCAGAAAAACATACTTTTCATTTATTTTTTACTACTTTAAAGAAACATTTTAATATTTTTTTTTTTACATTTAAACATCAGAATGTCTTAAGAAAGATTTTTTCGACATTTTTTTTTTTGCCAAAATTTTCTTCTAAAATATTTTTTTACTGTTTGCTGTTTTCCAAGTCGCTAGAATATTTTAGTAAATAAATAATTTAATTAAAATCTAAATTAAATCTTACCAAAAATATTTTTCATCACAACGCACTGTCCATCGTTCGCACAAGGACGAATGTCAGTTATCGCCGCCAACGTCACCACTTTAGCATTTTACTCCATTGTATCCAGTTTTCTTGAACAACCCATACACATCCAACCACCCACACACATACATTCTGCAACAATTGCCAACTAACAGCTTATAGTCAAGCTAAGCCGGCAAACTCATGCCAACGACGTGTTGCGGTGGTGGCTCATTTGCTCATTTGTATTTGTTGCTGATAAGAAATATCTGTTTGCCAGTCAAGCAAAAAGGAAAACTATTTAGCTCATAATAGCGGGCAGCAAATATATGTACAAGCATACATATTACATGTGTACATGTGTGTGCGCTTGTGTAAACTATATATCTCCGGCAAGGATTTCTCTAAGAAACTTTATGTGCTTGTGTGACCTGCTGAAAGACCCAGTTTTTTTATTTGATTTTATTTTATTTTTTTATTTTTTTTGTTTTGTTAGTGTTGTTGTGTTTGTGCTTAGGGTTTATTCATTTCACGCAGATTACTTAGATTAGCTGGAAATTCACTTCAGAAATTTATGTGGCATCGCATTTGACGCTGCTGTTGCTCGTTTTTCTTTTTAATTCACGTTATAGTCTGCTTTTAGGCGTTCGCCATGGAGGGTTTTATTTGATTGCCCTTTAGCTGCTGTATTTCCCTGCTTTCCGCACTTTACTCCCACTCACCAGTTTGCGCTCTTCTTAAATCGCTTAACTGCTTGGCAGCAGCAGCAGCAACAGCAGGTTCGCAGCAGCAGATCCATTGTGAACGCTTTTGTTAATGTTCCGCCCCCGTGCTGCCCACTCAGCATAAGCGCTGCCGTTGTCCGCTCATGCCTGCGCCACGTTGTTGCTTATGAATTGCTGCAAGTTGTTTTTTATGACTAATAAGATTTTGCCATTTCACACACTGACATTCGAGCTGTGCTCGTTCAAACCCGTCGGGTGGCAATCTAGCATGAGACACTCACTTGCATACGAAAATTTTACGGCATTTTTTTTTTCGTTTGCTACTTCGTTGGTTTATGCTTCTCATTTCATGCTCACAACGCGCGCAGTTCCATAAAAAAAATCTTTGTAAAATTACTGGGCCACCGCCATCGGATTAAAGTTGGTAAACTGCTTCTATTCACTACTTAATATCACTTTTTGTTGCCATTGTTTATTTTTTTCTCTCATTTCTTTTCTACCCTGCTTTATACATCATTTTGCCATTTTTTGTTGATATCTCTGGCATTGTGTACGGCAATTAAATGACTTCGTGCTCCGGCATTTTATGTTTAAATTATAATTTCAATTACTTTTAGTTCGTTACTCAGTCATAAAGGCAAATGTGGATTGTACTTAAATTATTTGGAAAATTGTTCTGACATTTTCGGTATCGTATTTCTGTGTACTTGCTGCGGAGATGAGTGACCGAATTGTAGAGGAAAATATGCTAATTCTCTCGTAAGCTGAGTGAGCTTTAGCAGCTGCTGCGACAGTTCATCCATAAAATAATTAGAAGCGCCAATCTAAATGTGTGTGAGGCACTTGCAAACTTTTCGCATCACAAAAACTTTCCTCTCTCAATTTAGACGATTTGTTTTTCACAAACGAAATGTTTATTCTTTTCGCTACTGACGTATACACCGTCTTAACGGAGTTAACAACAGCACGCCGTAAGGCCCAATCAATTTGTTGACGGTAGGCTTTAGTATTTCATACAATACGCTCGATAGGACCACATATACAGATGCACTGGTATATATCAACGATCGGCCAGATCGATCTACTACTGGATATGTACGACCCAATTTTTGAGATTTTAGATTTTGGGTCAAGAATCCGCCAAAAAGGCATTTAAGCTTGTTAAATGCGCATGTCTGCAGGTGAATATACAAATAAACCTTGCCACCGAAAATCATAGAAATCGGATGACTATAGCTTATAGCCCCCATACATTTTACTATATGGTCTTGAATGGTATTAAGATTTCGGAGCTGCAAATTCAACTTTTTTCATTTAAGTAATTCGCTTCGTCAAAATGTTTGGCCGTTGTGATACCGCTATGAGGTTCTTATCTTCACATAATCCAATGTTCGAGCCATTTCGTGTGCCTAATAAATCTAGCTAGATTACCAATTCTTATTATAGCTAGATTAGCGAGCCATTCAAAGAAGTGACTGTGTTCAATAGATGCTTTCTATGCGTCTACAATCATTGGAGTAATAGACTGTTTTCAAGTGAAGCCCCATCGAACCTCATCGAACCTGCTCATTCAACCATCCAATGTTAGCATTTTAGGCAAAGGTCAAACGTAGAATATGCTTTGTTGTGGCAAAGGGATTCCTAAGTATTTTGCGGATAGAAGTTCTGCAAGTTCGTCTGCGATGCAATAACTTGGGATGTTCCTGTGTCTGGGGTTTGTTCAATTTGCTTCTTTTTATAGCCACTTTTGAAGTGGTACTATCACCCTGTAGAGATCTGATGGATATTTAGCTATCAGAGTATTTCGTAACTGATAGCTTTGCGACCGTAAATTTGATCACCACTCAGCGGTTTCCATGATTGCAAACAATTCTGCTTGGAAGGCGCTGCAGTAAACTTGTTGCCAACGAGATGCCAACTTCATTACACCCCTCTCGTAGAAGGCTGCGTCCCTATTGGCAAAAAACTCGGAGAGCCAACTTTAACAGGCCTTTCTTGAGGCCAACTTCTCACCATTAAGCGCATTCGCCATGCACAGGAAAAAAAATGGAAATCACTTGGTGCCAGGTCCAGACTATAAGGTGGGTGTATTAGGACCTCACATTCGAGCTCTGGCGTGTCACCAAAGACGTGTTTTGCCCGGCGTTGTCCTGGTGGAACACATTACTTCCTCTGTTGCTCTAAGATGGCCTCTTCTGCATGAGTGCTGCCTTCAAGCGGTCCATTTGTTGGCAGTAGAGAGCTGAATTGAGCGTTTGACCATAGGGGAGCAGCTCGTAGTAAATGATTCCTTGCCAATCCCACCAATCTTTGAGATCGAAATTATCGGAACGTAATCTAGCAAACCACTTTTGTGCTACACGTTCGTTTACAGTATCGGGCCTATAAACTAAATTATTTTTTTTTCAGCCTCTTTGGCTGCTTTTTCGTCTTGATCGAAGAAAAATTGTAAAATATAGCGAATTTTCTCTTTGCTGGTGTCCAGTTTTGACGAGCGCTCACAACGTACTGAGTCAATCAATCGAAAAACTGTGAAAGACAAACTTTTAGCGCGAATAAACACGTTTTCAGCGCCATGGTATGACATAATGCGACACGTAACACTAGTACCATGGACAATAACCTCATCTCTCAGATAAAAACGAACGAACTTTTCACTTGACCTAATAGCGATTTAATTTGAATTCGCCTTGAGTGGAATCATGATACAATAAACAAGGTAGTTTCACTCAAAATTTTTTTCAAAAATTATAACCATATGACATAAAAATATTTTTTGACTTTTGCTTTATTTTTGTGGTACCAATTTCTTTTTTAGAAAATAAATTTTCCACTTTCTAAAATAATTGAAAAATTATTAAAAAAAAGAAATGCAAAACCTTTCAATGGAAACAAAAAAATAAAGAAAAATAAAACGTCGCAAAAAACTCAAAGGTTTGCATTGTATTTTCTAAAATCTAATGGAAATAAAATTATTTTCAGGCGGCTTAGCATTTGAAAAAAAAATGAAATATGTAAAATATATTTAAAGTGGCACTATATTGAAGTTAGAATGAAAATAAGATATAATGTCAAAAAAAAAATATTTTCTGTCAATTTTATATTGTTGTATTGTTTTTCTATCATGATTATTATTAAAAAACAATTCTAGTGTGAGCTGTCAAGTGCTAGCTTTCAATTTTTTTCCGAATTTGATTGCTGATTATTTTCATTCAAGGTCTTTTATTGCAACTTTTCTACTTTCTTACTACTTTAGATGTATTTATGTGCAATATTTTAAAGAGACGAGTAGTAGTGGTATTATTGAATGTGCAAAACAAATCGATTTAATCCGATCTAGTCTGAAAAACACATTGTGTAATTGCATAAAAATCGATGGCATTGTATGTGTGTAAATAATAGTGAAATTGGCAATAAATTGTGTAAAGTGAATTGTTTTTATTTTATTTTTATTTCTTTGAAAATTGGTAAAAAAAATTTGTATGCTTGTGATATGAGTACATACTCGTATGTATGTATGTGAGGAAAGCGTTAATTCATTTGAAATTCGTAACTTAAGCGTATTTGCTCAAACCTCTCGAGTCTCTTGAGTAGATAAATTAACCCTAAAAGTATAAACTAAATTAATTAATTTCAAATATATTCACATTTCCCAAAAAGCTACTTACAAACGTTCGTTTACGTGCATTTACATACATACATTCACTAAAAGAGCATTTTATAAAAATAAAAATATATTAACCAAAAAAAAAAAAAAAAAAAAAAAAAAAAAAAAAAAAAAAAAACAGAAAAAAAAATTAAATTGATAATAAATAAATTCGCAAAGCAATTAAGCGCAAACATTTTTGGATTATTCTTCAAACAAGCTGCTTAAGGAATCTTTACACCACATAGAGAAACAACAACAACCACTAACATGGACACATCGCAAGCAGAAGCCCAACGTTACATCAATGTAGCACTGCGTGAAATCAATACAGGCAACTATGAGAACGCCTCAAAGTTATTGAGGAAGGCGAAAGAGCTTGCGCCCGACTCCGAAGCAGATGAGTTGCAAGAATTACTGCTGAAATTGAATGCCAACGCCACTGCAGCGCAAGAAAAAGCAGCCGCAGAAGCGAGCACCTCATCGGGTTGTGGCTCAACAGGCGGTAATGGTGAATTTGGTGGTGGTGGTGGTGGTGGTGGTGGTGGTTGTAGTGTTGGTGGACGTTCACGTCAACGGCGTCAAAATTCACACAACAACAACAACAATAATAACAACAACAAAACCAACAACAACAACTGCAGTGCTAATAACGGCAACGCGTACAGCAAAGAACAAAGCGATTTAGTTAAACGTATAAATAAATGCAAGAATTTCTATCAAGTTTTGAATGTTTCACGTGACGCTACAGATTCGGAAATAAAACGCGCCTACAAACGTTTAGCCCTACAATTACATCCCGACAAGAATCAAGCGCCAGGCGCTGCTGAAGCTTTCAAATTACTAGCAAATGCAGTGTCCGTACTCACCGATGAGCGACGACGCAAAGAGTATGATGCAGCCGGTGCAAATACCTTGTCAATGCATGACAGCGGCATAAGTTTACACGCCCAGCATCAGCATCGGCACTTTAACGTCAATCACTTTCATGCTGGACATGCTTTTGAGGCGACCTTTGACGAGGATATCACCGCGGAGGAGTTGTTCAATATATTCTTTGGTAATTTTCCGCAGCATCCACGGAATGCTCACAGACGCCCCTATCAGCCGGCAAATCAACGTCAACCTCAAGAGCGTAATCAGCAGCCAAGTTTGGCTTTTGGTTTGATTTTGGTGTTGATTTTGATTTCGATGCTCTCATCGCTCTTTACAACGGATCCCGTCTATAGTTTGGTGCAATCGAGGTGAGTTTTGTGTTACTCCCCTCTGAATAATTTTTGTATTTGCGTTTGTTTGCTTTCTTTTGTTCGTTATTGATTATTGCCGTTTGTTTGCTTTGTTCTTTGTTGATTTGATTACAGCTTTGTTGGCTTAATTCATTTCTTTTTTATTTACGTGCACCGAGTGTCTAAGGTTAACTGGAACATGTAATTTGAATTAAAATCGTGTAGGGTGTATAGAGGAAGTTTCACTAGAAATTAAAGGAAGGAAACCAGAACAGATATCTCGAATTTTAAAACTCATCGAATTCGGATATTTTTTTTTTAATTTTTAAAGAATCGAAAATAAATCATTAAAAAGTCAAAATATTTATAATTAATTGCATTTATTGTTTCACTTCCAAAGCCCCTCCCGAAAATTTCGTTTGAGTTCCTACTCTTTTTTTGATGTACGTCTTAATGTACGTTTTCCAGCAAATGGAGGGCAAGAACTCGAAGTCGAACACGAGGAATTTCATGAGGAGCTTTAATTTTCTAGTCAGAAATCTACCCGGTGGGCTTTGCTGGCATTCCCTGTTTTCTATAATTTTGGGTATTTGGTCAGAGTAGAACTCGAGCCATGGCCTTCGGCACATATGCCAACGAAGAATCCGATCATCTCAGCATTATTTAAACGCCTTTTATATTGTAGTATCTACTTCAGTACTCGCTGCAAGTTGGGTTTTATGTCGTGTAAAAATGCGGCCAGAGCCATATCACTTCGATACGGTTGTTGTCCATAGGTTTTTATTGGATTTTCGGCCACAAACTCGTACAAAATGAGAACCTTGTGGGAAAGTGTTTTGTCGTGAGGCCAAACCAATAACGCTCTTTACACAAAAATGCATTTACCGATAATTTCGCAATGTTGTTATTGTAGTAACCACAAAAATATCAGCCGAATCGATTTTCGAGGTATATTGCGGGAGTAACAGTCCTTGGTCGGATAAAAATGCGCGTCGTTCCGTTAAAAAGAACTGTCACAAGACCAATAGGATTTAAGTCGCATCTTACGACAGGCATGCGTTACCACGGGTGAATTATTGAGCCACTGACCCGCAGCCTCTAACCCACAGAAATTTTGCTCTCTTAAAGACCGCTTAACCCTTATTTAATATTCTTTATTTACCAACTGATCTCTTGGTTGGAATTCCGCAATTACAACAAGGCGATAAGCAACCCAGAAAGTCTTTATATTGAATTTTTATTGACTTCACAATCAGTTAAAATACATTTCATAAATGTGAGATTAATGATGCATGTCTTCAGCGACCTTCAGGCCATAGTAGAAGGCCGGATTGAGCGTTTGGCCATAGGGGTGCAGCTCGTAGTAGATGATTCCTTGCCAATCCCACCAAACACCTATAAACCTGGTGCATCTTTAACATCGAAATTAGCGGAACGTTTCCATTATCGGGTCCATAAACTAAATTAATTTTTTCAGCCGCTTTTGCTGCTTTTTCGCCTTGATCGAAGGAAAATTGCGTATCATCTTTCGTATTTTCTCTTTGCTGGTGTCTATCTTTGACGAGCGCTCACAACGTACTGAGTCAATCAATCGGAAAACTGTCAAAGACAAACTTTTAGCGCGAATAAACACGTTTTCAGCAATAACGCCATCTCTTAGATAAAAACCGAACGAACTTCGTACTTGACCTAATATATTTTTTTCTTTCACTTGTACCGTTTTCTAAGTTCAGTAAAAATGGAAATTCAAGAAAATGTAATGCAAAGTCTGTCCGAGCAGACGAACCTGCTTAACGCTCAGCCATTAAAACTGCTCTAGCTTCTAAAATATGACGAATTGGCCTTTGAAATTTCGAAACCATGTTCCTTGATATTTTCGGAATAGATTTCAGAAAAAAATACATTTTTTTGAAGCTTCTAAAGCTGACTAATGCCTTAACTTTAACGACTGGTTTAATAAATAAATGAGAGTCGGTTGGCTCAGCAAAAAGAGAGTGCCATTTCAAAATTAAAAAAAAAAAAAACAAAAAACGAAGCACCCTGTAAATTTGTGCATTGAGCAGATATTATTTGCTTAACGTTTTATTGGGAAGCAAACATTTGACTTTAAATTGATTTTTCAATGCACACAGCTGAGAAGGGAAGGGCAGAAAAAAATTAAGAAAAAAATATATACGAGAAATAATTTCCCCCATTAAACGTTTGGCCAGCTGTCACCTGTCGCTGTGAGAGCGTCTGTTAAATTTTTTTCCCGCGTTCTTGAAAATTCCACTTTGCGTTCCATTTAACCTGGACACATTTAGTGGTAGATAGGGACATACAAACTTACCTTTATATACGTACGTGTGAATGTGTACCTTCCGGAGGTAACAAATTATTTTCGTTTTTACTACAACTTTTTATTTATTTGCATACACATACACACATACATATGTGTGTGTTTATATATTTATGTGTCTTTCTGGTAAGACTAACCACAATTTTCTTCATCGTTTGAATTACAACAAAACCACCACCAACAACAACAACAACGCCACTAACCATTATTATAATCGTATATACATATACGGCTGCATAACGTCCTATTTGCTCCATTAGCAAATATTCTGAACAACGCCAGACGCGACACCTCTCCATACCGTATTATGTTAAGCCAAGCTTCTCCAGCGATTATCAGGGCACTTTGGGACGTTTGGAGAATTCCGTTGAGGAGGATTTCATCTATACGATGAAACAAAATTGTATACGTGAACGTAGCTACCGTAAGTAATCATACATAAATATTTATGACCAATGCAGACAAATAATAATAAATGCAAAAAAAAAAAAAACTTTCCTTCACTTTCCGGTGGACTGGCACTTCTACTGCATACTTCGAAAAAAAAAAAAATCTAAAAAACGTTCTACTGCCACCCCACGCAACAACACTTACATATGCATGTGGCCAACTTTACCTCAACTACGCAATCACCGAATTCTCATTTCTCTCATTTATGGTGGCGTCAACAACGACAACTTGATAATTTCATGCTTCCTTCAATCCACACCACATTCCACACCCCACGGTACTGTGCGCACAGGTGAAGGCATGATGGCACGTGCACGTAGTTTTGGCAGCAGCATGAAATTCGCACAGGCTCAAGCGTTGAAAGTGCCATCGTGTGAGCAGTTGGCGAAAGTTGGCTTAACACGTTACTCGCTCTACTAAATGTGCTTGCGGCTGGTTGACTGAGGCCTCTACAAGATGACATAATGTGGAATTGAAATGCGAGTTGCTGCGGAATTTCAGCATAATTACGTGTATATGTGACATGTATACATACATACATACATAAACATATATAGTTATGATGTAATTGAATTGATTTGCTTTTGAATGCAAAAGAGTTACTTATTAAAAAAAAAAACATATATTGCATACATACATACATACAAATGTACTCATTAAAATTATTGTGAAACCTATATTTACAGTATTGTCATACTCTAAACTAATACATAAATACAACCTACATATATTTACTCATATATCAATTTAATTATACGAAAAATTGTACTTATTCAATAAATGCGAAATGAAATTAGCGAAACCTCAAGTGCCGTTATTGGTACCAACCACAAATTGAACTCAATTCGTATAATACGTGGGTTGCCTTTTATATTTCGTGATTTGGCAATCCGATCCCAGTGTTGCAAAAAGCCGAATGACAACTTTATCGTAAATTTTGACGTTTTGTCATGTTACCAAAAAAATTTTCATCTCTCCTAATGAATAGAATCGATGTGAGTTAAAACAGCAACAGTGCACCGACGAAGCGCCATCATTGACCAGTGCTTATCGATGATATGGTAAATTTAATCGAGTTCGTAGATTCGTCCAAAATCAGTTGTTATTCCGAAAACTATCGATACTGGGCTTAAATCGATGTTGCAATTTCGCCATGTCGCCTATCGTGACATTGAGCCCGCGGCTGGTGTTAGTGGCTGTAAAAAAGGGTTTGTTCACCTTGAATCCCACACAATTTATGAATCGCCCAAAAAAGACTTGCCTCGATTGGTCGGAGAAAAAACACACTAGAGGTGCTTCGAAGCACGTATGCGCCCGAAAATAAACAGCAGTCGACTATATGGGTATTTAAAAATGATCCGAACTCAACAAAATTTGTTCGCGTAAAATTATGAGTGGTACACAAGTATTCGTTTGCCTGTTTTCTTTTACGAAATCCAACCGCCGATGACGGATCGCTCCCTCCTCGCTCCACGACAATGCGAGCTCTCACACATCGACTGAAAGAACTGCATTTTTGTGCACTCAAACCATCGAATTGATGAGGCAGCCAGGCAGGCAGGCATCGAGAATATTTTGAAAAACATTAAAGTAGTTTACGCTCAATACTATTTTATTACCCCAATCCCGAAATGTAAAAGGCAACCCTCGTATAAGTAATACGACATTAATGATTCTCTAAAATCTATACCAAATAAATATAAAGCCATACGTATCTACTTAGTAGATCTATAAGAATTTGCTAAGTAAAGTAATTATGCATCTTAATTAGCATAGGTATAAACTCAATCAATTATATGTATGTACCAACAATTAATTATTAATAAAACCTCTCCTTTTACTAAATCAACCCGAATTTTTTCATCAAAATATCTTTCTATTTCAGGTACTGTAATCATAAAATATGAAACACATTTAACGATTCTTTTTTATTCTTTTTCATAAGTATATTTTATTTAGATAATAAACATAATTTTCGAACTTTATTTAAATACAAATATCAGGTTTTATGGTGAAAACAAAGCATCTAGTATTGTATTTTCCGAAAAAATACAAAAAATCTATGATAGAAAAATATAAAGGAACTTTCACTTCAAAATCTTCCGCAAAGTTAACTCGGTATCGACCTATGCCTATCCTAGGTCAGTATGTGAGAACTATTATTTTCAAGTAGTGGATAAGTACTCGAGCTTTTTGAAAAAAAAAATGGGGGCTTGTTTGTTGGAATAAGCTCAATAAAAAATCTTACTTGAACAATTTTTAAACTCTATGCGGACGAAGTCGTGGGCGAACTTTTGTAGTAAATAAAATACAAAAGTCTTAATTTTTTTTAGAAATTTATTTTATTAATGTAATATTTTACGGCTTCGCATATATTTTAGTGCAAGAGAGATGGATTTTTTTCTGATAGCAAGAAAATGACGTAACTCTTTAATATTAGATATCTATGAAGTTGACTGTGTGAAGTGAGAAGAGACTACCTTTAAATTATTGTATCATGCAAAAATCTACACTTTTGCTTATGTTACATAATAAATACTTAGAATTTTCATAAATACATATGTTGTTCTTGATTAGACCATTTTAAGTCCCCAAAAATAATGTGCTAACATTGCTGGACTGTATTTCCATTTGATAACGCTTTTCCGTAAAGGGAATATCTGGATGGAGTCTCTCACTTTATTCGTCACTCACAGCACCCAAACTTGCTGGAATGGCATTAAATGCGAGTCTACAATTGTATATATATTTATTACGCCCCAAACAGTTATAATACATTATATTGGTCTAATAAAAAGTCAGGCATTATTTTTGCATCAAATTGAAGTTTGATTTATCGATAGTCTCATAGAAACCCTACCCTCTATTGGCAAAAAACTGGGGGCCAGTTCTTTACGAGCCAAATAACTTTGAGCGACGTCCGGACTACAAAGAGGATTCATAAGAACTTCTCAAACAAGCGCTCCGAGCTTTTAGGGAGTCACTATCGTTGTATATGGCCTTATGAAACACAATTCCCCTCCTATTGGCCCTAGCTGGGTGCTGCTGGGCGATGGTATCCTTCAGATGGACGAAATGCTGACAGTACTGTAAGAGTTTGGCCGTAGGAAAGCTGCTAATTGTGGTTGATTCTTTGCCAATTCCATCACAACACACAACAAAACCATCCAGGTCGTCAAAACTAGTTAGGAGGTCGTTTGTACCGGCTTGCGCTTGACGTTGGGTCGATTTAGCTAAGATTCAGAAACGCTTTGCAGTCCCGGAAATTTTTCTCGTTAACTCATGTGGAACCCATGCATCAAATTTCTTTGTGTAAGCAAAATAAAAATTGGTCAAAAAACAATATTATTATTTTTTTTAGATATTTTTTCGTTAAAATTAACGTCTTATCTCCGGCCGTTTGTTGGTAAAACATCAAGACGCAAAACCATTGGAGAAGGGGCTCGGCCGAAAATCGCTTCAGCGGTTACAAAGCGCCAATTATCTATATATATATACAATATATAAATTCACGCCATCTCTCCGATAAGTCCTTTTTTGATAATGGTAATTTTTTTGGAAAGGTTGCCATATCAGCTTATTGCACGATTCGCTTGAAAAAGAGGTTTTCCGAGTTTGTGCAATTTTTAATAATAATAAAAGCCTTGCCTGTAAATGACAATCATTCGCGATAGGTCTTATTCGTCCATGAGGTGAAGCGGGTCTATGTGCGGAATATTTTTGAAATTCCCTCGATAGTTCTCAGTCTTAGAAAATAATTATAAGGGAGACCTGCCAAAACACAATATAACTATGCTGGATCGTATGAAAAGTGATTAAATGTATTTCTATTGAATCTTTGTACTATTTTTCCCTTTGACAGCAAATATCCTAGCCAGGCTTGCCGCTTTGGCCGAAATTTTGGCAAAACCTCTTGCATATATGAATGGGCGCTATATGATTTAGTCTTCCGACTTCGATGATTTACAGTGGCAATGTTTATTTGTAGGCACGAATGTATAATACCAAATTTCATCCTCATATCCAGAAGAAAATCGGCTGTATCTTATAGTCCGATTTCGACAAATTGAAGCAGTAATGTGTAATTCGAATCGAACTGAAAATTCGGTTTGGAATGCGCACCAAAAGGCGGACAGATATTCAGGGCTGAAACTTCTCAACTCGTCATTCATGTATAGGGTGTGAAAAGTAATAGAAATGTGGTCGAACTACGACAATTGGGCGGCGGTTCACTAGTTTCAAAAAATATAAATTCAACAAATTAATATTGTACCAAACTGCACCAAAACTCCAAACTCATATATAATAAGAGAAGAGGAATCTCTGCTGCAGAATTAGTATTGGAAACCTTGGAAAGAAAGCTAGTGAGTAATACGATATAACGAAAATCAAACTGTTCATGCAATTTTATTGAAATTTAATAAATTCAGAGCAGGTTCTCAGCTCTGCGCTATCTCCGCGCTATCTCCGCTTTGCTCAAATCGATACTTTGTGATTTTTCAATATCAAAGAGCGAACGGCAAGCTTTTGTGAGCAAATGAAAATAGCCTCAGAGGTTAATAAACAAAAGCAGTTGGCGCAATGGGCGCAAAAATTGACATTTTTCCACGTTGTTTTTCACAGGCAGTCAGCCGAAGGCAACGAGACGAACGTGTGTATATCAAAACATGGCGAGGCAAACAAATAGGCGACAAAAATCAAACAGAAAAAGAGTTCAGACGAATGTGGAAAATGGAACAATTTAAAAGCTGACGCTCGAATTGAATGTGGAAATAATGGAGACATGTTGAAGGAAGAGAAACATTTTTATACTTTTGCCTTCGTTTTTTAAAATGCTGACCAAAGGGACCCAACAAATAATTGCATAATAAAAAGGGTAAAACGATTTTTTTTTCTTTTTTATTTTGCTTTTTTTTGTGACCAACAGCTTTTAAAAATTTCACGCTCTCGCGCCTCGGACAGCAACTTAGTCTTAGTTGCTTATAAATTACGCCTTTTATACAAGCATAGATATATATAAAGGGTGTTTTTAGAGGAGAGGTTTTCAATGAGACAATACTTTCGTCGGAGTTGGTCTTTTTGACAGCAGTTACTTGATTTATACATAGTTTGGCTTGCCATTTCATAAGGACCTGGCCCAGCAAAATGAGTTATTCGAGCAAACATGGATAGGCTTCGTATCACGTTTAAACTAGTGAATAATGTGTACCTTCGGAGACGCGGATAGTAAGCACGGAAGAATATCCGATTGAGCGCCCAACAATTGGAGCGATGTCCATTCGTTTTATGGAAGATTTTGCGAAAGGATCTTGGTTTGCAGGTTTATAAAATCCAACTCGTGCAAAAATTGAAGCCGAAAGACCATCAAGCGCGTCGCACGTTCGGTGAATGGGCCCAAAATGATATTGTTCCTTGAGGGTGAATGAATAAGTTAAGAAATAAAATTGTCGC